ATATCGTTTCAAAGTTCAAAATTATATATTCAAAAACTATTTGAGGTAAACACTAACACATTCAGTTACTTGTAACTCCCCTGATTCTTGGTCGATTCTTAAAATTCTTACACAGCTGCAAAGGTCAAAATGTCCGGAACGCTTCTCCCGTTCTTTAAAAAATATCCGGATCCGTTTTACGAAGAAATACGCAATTGTATTACTAGTCTGAGGCTAGTCTTTGTATGAAGTTCAAAAGAGACGGAGGCAAGACGAATTTCAAGACCATTAATGTTTTTGTCGCTGGTTAATTAATTAAGTAGCGCTCACACACAGCTCTTCAGCATGGGCTATTACCTAAACCCGTGCCAAGAAAACGTGCGTGAAACGCTAGGTACGGATTGAATCAGGCACGTACGTTTCAAGACCCTGTCCTGTTCTTAGCACGAGCTAACGAAGTGTGTGTGAACGCCTAGCTTGGGATAAGCGCCTAAAACGCCGTTGTATTCAATGTTCACGAGCAAGGTTTACTATGATTAAATTAATGAGTTAAATTCAAATCTTAGAAAACAATAAAGCTGCTGGACCCGACGAAATTACACATGAAATATTATAAAAGGATGAGTGAAGTTGTAACAAAATCATTAAAAATATTATTAAATTTCCAACCCCAAATGGTATCACTCCCTAAAGATTTGGGGAAAACATAATCACACCGCTGCATAAAAGAGGCGATATTAGAATTTTAGATAACTATAGAGGTATCGCATTTTGTTTAGTTACAGGTAAAATATAAATTGTTGAATCAAGAAATATAATTGGTGAAATCCAAAGGAAGTTAAGAAAAGATTGACAATTGACCAAATTTTCACTCTAAAACACACATACCTTGCTTTATATGTCAGTATTTGGTGGGAAGGGCTATGGAAAAATGGAATAAGGGGAAAATTATGGCGTATCATAAAACATATTGAAAGCATGGTATCATTTGGTGAATGAAGGCCTCGGACAAGGTTGTGAAAGAAGTGTTTATTAATAGTTCTCTGCTGATGACGTAGTCGTCATTGCACAAAACGAGAAACAGTTACATAACCAACAAATTTTGTAAAGTATGGAAAATTTCAATTAATGAAGACAAATCAAATATTGTAATGGTAAACAAGATAACTGACACACAACAGGAATAGCAAATTGGCAATTGTACGATTAAGAAATCAATTTTTTTACAAACATTTCAGCTACTTCTTTTGTATTTTTTTCTAATTCAAATATTTGATTCGGTTTTTGTTATGTAATGCCAAATTTGATTTGACATTTATGCAGTTTCTA